GGAGAATATGATAAAGAAACGCTATTAAGGTGAGAGAACAATAGAAGAATAAAAATTAAGAAGACTGTACCTAACGATTGACACTACATTTAAATTTCTGACTGCGCAACAACAAGCCGGAAGAGAGTTCCACAAGCAAGAAGTGCGATAGAAGAAACTGTTAACATAGAACTTACGGTTAAATCGAGCCATTTCAACTGTAAAATCAGGGGATATCGTCGCTGATTAAGTAATGCGTTTAGATTTTTGTAAGAATTTTTTGTGGCGATAAAAATGTTTTAATGGTAGATGTCTTATTAATTAACCCATATCTGGGGGAGAAGAGGTGGATTCATACCATTGCCAAGGGTATTTGCACGTAAGTGATAATAACGAACCCAACGTGAATTCGAAATTTGCTTTCTGATAAACAATTCGGAGCCATTATCAATTACACCGTTTGTAGATCCAAGCATCTACTATTCACAAACGGTCACCAAAGGTACTAACAAAACTCAATGTTGCTTAACTTCGCTGAATCTGTGTTTAAATCTGATGTTCCCTTTTTTATTTTGTCTTACATTCCACACATTTTGACATAAACTTCCCGGAAGAAAACCCCCGTCAATACTGGAAAGCACAATAAAAGATAAATGATTTGAGAAAACTGTTTTCCTAAAAAAGCGCTTTAAAAAAAAAAAGATTTTCCAAATTTCCACCGAAAACAGGAGTGGCTGCTTGGTCAGTGAGTGTCAAATGTTTCCTTGTAGGGAAACGGCAAATGTTGCTCCCATCATTTATCATTTCCAATGAGTCTAATCCTTCAGTACTCAGACCAGGAATTGAAATAATCAAATACTATGTCATCAAATCGACCTTTACCGTTAATGTTTATTAATTAAAAAGAAAAAAAAATAATAGCCTATAGAAACGTTTCCTGGCATTGACCCTGTCCTTCTTCTGATTCGATAATTTAAATCTTTTATACTTTAGACTAAAGTTTATCTATAATCCGCAATGCTTTGAGAATCATTGAAGACTGAATGTCCTAGAGCCAAACTGCATTTACCATCGATGGACAACGAGTGGATTTGTTCAAATGAGACAAGAGCAGAATGGACACAAATGGATGGAGGTCACTTGATTGTTCTATAAAGAGATGGGAATGCCTAAGCGCAAATTTATCCCAAATGCCGTCAGAGTTTTACTGGCTTAACACTTTACATTACGCGTGATCTCACGCCAATGAATCTGGTTGCTTGATTCTATTCAACAAGAAGAATGGACTTTTAAGATATATTATTCCATGGATGATGAAGGGAAAGAACTGAGGAAGAAAAGGAGAAGATAAATGTGTTGGTTCGATTGAAAAGGAGAATAAAAGCTGGTTTAGAAATAGGAAGGAGGTTTGGGTAAATGAAAGGAAAGATTAAGAAGGACATCTTACAGAAGAAGGAGAATTACGTGAAAGAGAGAAAGTTGAAAGGCAGATATGAGAAAAAGAGGGTTGGTTGAATGAAAGGATGAAGCAGAAAAGCACAGAGAAAGAAGGAAAGTTGGGCAAAAGAAAAGAAATATAGAAAAGCAAAGAGGGAACCGAGTTTTATCAAGGCCCAAGAGCCACTCGATGTAGAGGGTTACAGAGAAACAGTTTATGTGAGGAAGATGATAGTTGACGCTAGACGTGAACAGATTAAGAAGGTAGGGATCAGGGAAGCATCCTCTTGGGAGCCGGTCCCACAAAGCAGAAGATCGTTGGAAGAAGCTACACGCCACGAACTTAAATCTTACCAATGGAATACGAGAGGAATGGGGGTGGCTCACTACAAAGGGCGTGGCATGGCGAGTTTTGACTGTGAAGGTGAGAACGAATATAGTTGTAGGGTAGAAAATATTTCGTCACCAACAAAGACAGTCTCTCGAGCCTGGAAAGTAAAGATTGAGCAGCTCCTGCTCATATATATATATATATATATATATATATATATATATATATATATATATATATATATATATATATAAAAGGATGTGTGTGTGTGTGTGTGTGTAACGAATGCACGGCCACAATTTTCGACGGATTTGCACTAAAATTTACATGCACATGCTCCAAGTTATCAGGAAGGCCAAGATCGACTTTGCATTTCCCAACTTCCATCAATAGTAGAAATAATCGATTTTTTCATGCTTCTACGGCAGTTTTCATGTAGTTTGCGGCCATTTTCTACTGGCCAGAGTGAGAGCCAATAGCTGGCTGCCACGAATAAGCAGGCAGGAAGATTCTATTGGCCAGCGTGAGAGCCAACAGCTGACTGACACGAATGTTAACTAGCATGCTAGCATGCAAAATAATCGATAGCTGCATTCGTCACAAGTGGGAAAAATTTAAATCTGCATGTCACTTTACTCCAATTGGCTCATTCGCTTGCTTAAACTCAACGTTGATTCTGATTCCGCAGAACTGGGTTGTGTGTGAAAAAGTATTTGTTGTTAACATTCTTTTTTCATTCGTCTTTTCCAGTTACGAGTCCATTTTTTAAAGCTAATCGTTTTGTGTTCATTTTGTTTAGTTCTTTTTTCGTAACAGATTTAATGTTTAGTATAGAGCTTAGAAAAAATTCGCAGTGTGAGATAGGCAAGAAGTAAGGCATGTAGCAACATCAGCACGTCAAAGGGCACCCTTTAAAAAAAAGGCAAGGAAGGGCAAAAATATTTTAAGTCAAGTGATAGCGATTGCTGTATGAGTTGTACGATTTTTGAATCAAGCACGGGCAATGCCGAAATGCTGCTAGTATATATATATATATATATATATATATATATATATATATATATATATATATATATAAACAATATACGATTTCCATTTGAGGTCTGGATTAAATTCCAGTAAGCGTTCAAGGCACGGTGCTTCCCTGGGGAAACAGCCGTTCAACGGGATTGGTGAAAGTTCTGGGTCTGGGTCTTGATAGATCGTGACTAGTGTGGTTTGAGGCTTTGCATGTTATGAGTCAGTTCCCCCCAACCCTCCGTCATCGATGGGCTGTTGGAGCAAAGGTCAGAGATCAAAAGAGTTGCCAAGGTCTGATCATCTAGAGTTTTGCAGGTGCAACCATATACAGTTGTATAGTTGAGTAAAAGAAAGAAATAAAGATGCAAATAGGCAAAACGGAAAATAGGGAGGAAGGGAGGGAGAAAAAATCATGGCGATCAATGAAGGGAGATATGGGTAAAATAAAATAAGGTAGAGAAAGCAGTGAAAAAAATAGGGAGTAGCGAGAGTTTTGAGAAGAAATGGAAAAAGAAGGAGTATTAGTGGTAATACCGGGGTTAGCTGTTAAATACAGGGAGTTCGAAAAGTCATGCACAACCATATTTCAATATAGAATACAGGAAGAGAATATGAATGAAAGTTATAAACGATGTTGAAAGTCACGACCGCTGGCATCAATACAGGCTTGAATCCTTCTTATTTTGTCTCTGAAAACCGCCATAGACTGACAATTTTGCTGCTCCCCCCATAGATAAATGGTGGATTTAAATCTGTTTCATTTTGGTAGAAATATCCAATAGATTTATCTTGTTTATGTGATAAAAATCAGTTTGAAAGACCAGTGAGAACGCTTCGAAGGAGATGAATAAAAAAAAAATGTAAATCATTTGAGGACACATCGACTGTTCTATGATGGTCATATACAAAACAAGTATTTTTATAGGGTGTTCAGAATATCACTATGCACTTATATTTTTAATTAACACGCATGTTTCAATATACAGGAGGAGAATATGAATGAAATTTATAAACAATATTAAAAGTGGCGCCCTTCGACAGCAGCACCCCCATATATATATATATATATATATATATATATATATATATATATACTCCTGAAAAATTATTTTGGTTGAGCCCTCGGGGAAGAAAGTTTGAAGCAGTAACTATTACTGCTACTAATGCAATATTCTTCGATAAAGCAAATCGAGTTCTCTCAGTAACTGGTGTGTTTATCTAAAAATTAATATGCTTAAATTCACCTTCATCCATGCCATGTGCCAAAGGATTAGGGGTAGATTCTCCAACTAACACCCATTCAGCTGGGTTTCGATCCTAGCTAGAGGCAACCGGACGTCTAGTCGCACTGATGAGCTGTGATACAGCGAAACAGTCTGTCTGTGGGTGACAATGTATATATAATGCAGAATGGATTCGTCCTATATTTGGGACTCATTAGCAGTGCGCATCTACTACCGAGAATTGAAACCCGGACAGTTACGTTTTCAGGCAAACGTTGTCCCAACGTGACACGAAGAGGTAGTGAATCAGACTCGATATAGCGCCGCTCGATCACATATTCTGTGGTGGAACTCATTCGAATTTCTCTTTTACACATAGGACTGTGCCCCAACGAGCCATGACTACCATCCCCAACAATTTCTATCACTTATATATATATATATATATATATATACAAGTATATAATTGGTGTATACGGAATGAATTCCAATAACCAACACTTACTATTCTTAAAAGAGTGCTCAATACAAAGTAGAGCAGATATAATTATTTTTTATAAAAAAAAAAAAATTATAACATAAATATGTTATAAAATCACTACAAAAATAGCCATTTTGTTTCAACACCATCGGTGTCTTATCAAGTGATCTAAGTGATCTTATCACTTGATAAGACACTGAGGTGTTAAACAAAATGGCTATTTTCGTAGTGATTTTATAACATATTTATGTTATAAATTTTTTTTTGAAAAAAATTATTATATATATATATATATATATATATATATATATATATATATATATATATCCCGATGTATAATCTGTCAATAGATTTTAAATATACTCATATATATGAGAGGGAGAAGCTTCTTATTGCATTTATATATATATATATATATATATATATATATATATATATATATATATACAGGATGTTAGGAAAGTCACGATGCACTTATTTTTTTTATTCAAAGACATGTTACAATATAGAATACAGGACAGGAATATGAATGAAAGTCATAAAAATGTTGAAATTGGCGCCCCGTGGCATCAATACAAGCTTGGATCCTCCTTTTTTGTTTCTGAACCCCGCTATCCGTTGCTCGTTTTAAATAGACTAAATGAACACAGCTTTTAAGTCACCCAGTGTCCGCGGACAATCTTCATATACTGAAGACTCTGCTGCTACCCATAGATAAAAGCCTGGTAGATTTAGATCTGGTGAGCGTTGTGGCCACACGTCTTTGGAAATAGTATGATCTACAAAGATTTTCTCTTAAACCTGCCTAAATCTGAGAGATGTGTAGGAAGTCGCACATTCCTGTTGAAACCATGAAAAATTGATTTATTCACATGTCCTATAATCGATTACGGTAGGAAGCTACGAACAAGAGCAATCGCTGATTATCCTGTCCAAAAACAAATATGGCCAACACTTCTGGAAATCGCATCCCACACCCCAGACTTCTAGAGGTGTTTTCATGCAAACAGCGAGGATTTTTGGAGTATGATCATCTTTTTTTTGTGTTTTGAGAATTAGCGGAACCCAAGATATAGAACTATGCTTTGCCGGCAAAAAATGTCACATCCACCACATACACTGAAGTCTTTGTTGTTCCCCATAGATAAAAGTCTGGTAGATTTAGATCTGGCGAGCGTTGTGGCCATACGGCTTTGGAAATAGTGTGGTCTACAAAGATTTTCTCAAAAAACTGCATAGATCTGAGAGATGTGCAGGCAGTGACACCGTCCTGTTGAAACCAGGAGAAATGAATTTGCTAACTTGTTAACTAACCGATGACGGTGGGAATCTATGAACAACAGTGTTCATAAAGAAAATAGTGCTAACCTGCACTCCAAACTTGAGATCCTATCGGATGTTTTCTGAAAACTGTCAGGATTGTTAACAAGAGAGATAGAAACATGCTCCATCGTTAAAAAATGTTACATCCAAGACATTAACAGTATTCTTTTCGATATGTCGATTAAACAATCTGCAATAGCGGAGTCGCTTTTCAATGATTGGTTGACTTCAGTTCATGTATCGCCATTATTTTGTATAGGAAGATTTTTAATTTCTGTCTGACGGTCTTATGAACAGCTCCAAGTCGAATATCTTACTGCGCTAACTGTCGGAACAATTTTCTTGACTCTGCTGCATAGCGTTAGAAATATCCAACAGTTTCTCCTCCGATAGCGTTATTGGGGCCTTCCATAACGTTTGGCAATGTGCACTGATCCTATTTCCCGAAATTTATCAACAAGGTTACAAACTGCATTGCGATGGGGAAGAGGTGAATCTGAAAATTTATCATCAAAACGCTGTCGTACCAAATCTGTGTACATAGCACTTTCTTGAAATAAGTGTTTGACGAATGTGAAAATTACTCTCTCGAGTAGATTGTAACGCATCCATTTAACATAGTTGCTTCTCTGTCTTTAGGCAGAGTGACCTCAGGGGTGACTCCGTCAAAGGACAGAGTCGCAAATGAGGAAAATTATACTGAGAGTTGCCCGGTCCTGGCGAACAGCTGCGAGAGGCCGCAACCTCTCATTGACGGTTATGGGGGTTGCCGGCAATTTTTGTTCCTTGCCCGGGTGTACGCGCTCGGGCTCCATACAGTAAACCGACTAAGTGTCACGACCTGACTTCGTGGTGGTTTGGGTAAATACAAATATGTGTTCAACGAGAAATACCCGTTCTTCAGTGTTCCAAGAGGACTGATGATGACTATCTTTCCGATTATCTTATTTCAATTTATATATCGATTGATTGATTTATTCAGTTTTTACAGTTTATTTCAAACTAGAAAATATTTTAGTGTGGAAGAAATTTTGCGATGAAATTGATGGAAGTCTTAATTTTTGAAGAAATTTATAAAAGTCTTAAAAATGAAACCATAGCTACTGATGGAAGAGGAGCACAGCCAACTTTTCTAAGAGTATGTTCACGTAATTTATGCGGAAATACGGACCTGACTGGGGTTGGACTCTGATTAACAATTTCCAGCCATTATAATTTACACCATCCGTACATCCAAATTTACACGACCTGGTATTTTCAAAGGTTACCGGTCAAGTGTGTCCCATTAAGCATTCCTCTTCTGCAATTGTTGAACCCCTAATAATTAATCTATAACACACACACACACACACACACACATATATATATATATATATTATATTTATATATATATATATATATATATATATATATATATATATATAGAGAGAGAGAGAGAGAGAGAGAAGGAGAGAGAGAGAGAGAGAGAGGAGGCACGGTGGAGTAATGGTTAGCGGCTTGGATTGAGGAATCATTACATTCACTTACGTTCTAATACCCTTGGGAAAGGTGTGAATCCTCTTCTTCTCCCTCCAGCTATGGGTAAATAGCAGGACAGACTGGGTTCTATAGCCTTGGATGGCAACTGGTCTAGGAGAAGGACAACTCTGAATTCGGAGGGTCGTTTGGGAACCTTGTGGCACGTAGTGCACCAGGTCTCTGTATTCAGCCCTTCAAAAAGTGTGGATGGTCCTGCACGAAACCTTCACCACTATAATCAAATTCGACGGGAGAGACGACTATATATATATATATATATATATATATATATATAATGAAAAACAGACCACTTTAAGGTACCATTACAACAATATATTTCACCAGAGTCCTTTTAAAAAAGGAGGCCGGATCATCAGGTAACACTTCCAACAACGAAATGAAACGAAAATTTTTTTCGTTTTATTGTTGGAAGTGCCATCTGATGATCTGGCGTCCTTAAAAGGACTCTGGTGAAATAAATTATTGTAATAGTACCTTAAAGTGGTCTGTTTTTCATCAAATATTAGCTCTGTATTTACATTGAGCTCTCAGGATTTCATCCTCCTTGGAATTACCCATACGGTTTTCGAAGTTCTTCATAACTTAAATATATATATATATATATATATATATATATATATATATATATATATGATAAAATATAGTTTTAAGGTATGTTTGCTCTTATTAAAAGAAAGAACAGTAAGATATTTAATCCGGTGTTCTTATTGATTCGGTTGAAGATGAAATGGAACTAATATTTTTAATTTAATTACAAAATTAAATTTGAAGTTTTTAGCTTTCTTTTTGGGTTACAGTAGACGTAAATTCTACATTTCAAAGAAAAAAAAAAAAACATTTACAAACTTTGAGGTGGGATCCTTACACCAAAATAAGGCATGATGTCCATATATACATATGTCTTAAAAGTCATCGTTGCCCCTCAACACAGCAACTCAGAACAAATGTTCAAAATGTCCTTCACTTTGTTCCTACATACGGATGAACCCGTCGGATCATTGACTGGTGGACCCTTTCAAATACTTACACATCTCGAATGATTTCACAGACCCCCATGATACATTAATGAAATGTCTATGCATAATAAATGTCTGCTGCATAAACCAATTGTTTTAGGTGGACCCACAGGTAAAAAAATCCAAAGGACTGTGGCCGAAAGAACGAGCAGGCCAAGGAACTGCTCCTCCTTTACCTATCCATCTTTCATATGGAATTTGAGGTTGCTTTCTTCTGAGGAATCCGTCCCCAGTGTTTATAAAATTATTCTTGTTACACCCTATATTGAGGGTGTTTTCCTCCCAACAAAACAAGGAAAAAGGTCCATATAAAAATATGTCCATATAGCTTTCGTATTTTAGTTATTAAGTTTAAACAAAGTTTAGGTTAACTTTCGCTGTGTTGAAGTAGAGATTAGGTAACATTTATCATCCGTGTAAATTTATGGCTAGTCTGTCTTCAACGTTTAACGTGTATAGTATTGAGTTAACTGAGAAGTGATTCGCTTAACAATAACAGGACATTCATAATGTGACCAGGCAGATATGATTTTTAGGTACAGTCGCGCGTACAGTAATGGCCGCGAGGCTTCACGGCTGTATCAGATTGCATTTCCAGATCGAAAGCAACTGAGTCATCCAAATTTTACTACTGTCTATTGTCAGGTTACTGAGACAGTATCCGTGTCACCACGAACTCCTGACCACGAAGATGTTCTACAGGTTGTCGGAGACGAACCCGGCATCAGCAAACGTCCAGTGATCCTAGCATGTCGTACAGCGCATAGTGTACGGCATGTATACGTATCATCTGCAACGTGTGCAGGATCCATCGCCCTCTGAACCCTCACCACGGGATAATTGTTGCTGATGGTTTATTGCACAAACTACCGACTCGTTTTGGTCTTTTCAGTTTGATTTACTGATGAGGCAACATTTCGAAGACATTGGATAATAAATTTACATAACCAGCATTTGAGGGCGGATCGGAAACCTCATGCTACAATAGTGGCTTGACACCAGCATCAGCGATCGGACCATGTATATCATAGTAAATTTCTATCTATCTATCTATCTATCTATCTATCTATGAAGAAATATAGATATAAGGTGTGCTATATGTATGGGATAAAGTGCTCAATATCAGAGACAGAGCGTATGTTCACTCATATATATATATATATATATATATATATATATATATAAACATACGTGTGTATATTTCACATAGATGTTGCTCGAAATATATAACGCGCACAATGATATATATATATATATATATATATATATATATATATTTTTTTTGAATAAAAGACAGACCACGTTAAGATTCCATGTAATAAGCTATTTCACCATAACCCCTTTAACAGGGTTCTGGATCATCAGACTTTACTTCCAAAAGCTGAAATGAAAAATGAAAAGAAATTCACACGTTTTTTACGGATCTCTTCAAGTATACGCAAAGTTAACGAAGTGAGGAAGTGAGGTGGGAGAGAGGATATGAGTGTGTCATATGTATCATTTTAGTTTCCTATTTTAAACCCAGTGTGTCGGCTGGATGTTGCTCAAATTTAACGCGTCTCGTTTCTAGATAAAGGTGGCTAAGGGGTGAACGATAAGAACTACATTAAAGGAAGACGTTACAACAACCCCAATAAATTACACGACAGGTTTCATTCAAATTCTTAGACGTTGTCAGTTCGCGTTACTTTAACGTGCATATTTGGGAGGTTAAGGTTTGATAAATATCTAAATTTTCAAACAATCTACGAAGGAATTAATTTGAAATTCGGTGGAGTTTTGGGTATTTTCTATGAAACAGTCGATAGGAAAAATCCATAGACAGAACATTGAAAGAGCAATCCAATTTATATTTAGTAATTTTTTTTTCCACTAAAACTTTTATCTTATAGCTTGTTAGGTTGACATTTATTCGTTTGATTTTTGTTCATTAAGTAAACTCGTGATTGTTTTTGATTTTTGTTCATTAAGTAAACTCGTGGTTGTTTTTATGTACCCAATTATCAATAGTTATTTCCATTTAAATAATTTTATTCTCCACACTGGGGTATTATCTTTCAATCTCAATTAAAATACCAATCTAAACTTTCCCTTCGTGCTATTTAAAATTCACTTCCAATTGGAGAATATTAGAGGAGAAATTTGGAAGAGATGTCACTAGCAGAAAATTAGGCCCTTCTTTTACGATTTCTTATCTAAACATGTCTTAAACCCCTATTTGTAACCACATACCTATATCTTCTTATATGCCTATGAGTTCCTATATACACCTACACACACATTCACACAAAACAATATATGTATATTTCCATCTTTACACATATACACCTGCAGAGAAAACGCACATCCACATGTCTCCATACCTATCTCCATATATACTTATACTTACATATATACATATACACACAAGGACATCTGCATATCCATATATCTTCATACGCACATATATATATTTACACATCCATACGTATACACATATACACATACATACACACACCCATATATGCATACATACATACATACATATACATACACACACATATGCATATGCATATGCATACGCAATATGCAGAATATCTACATACCCACATATGCGTTAATTTGCACTTACATATATCTACCCACGTATTTGTCCCTATCCTCATGTCCACCCGTGCATCCGCTTATGCCTGCGTTCGAAGACTATCTCAGTATTTAATTACATTATCTATATCTTTACATATAATATTACCCGATCTTTCATATTTATGGCAAAAACATATAAGTACCTATCTAATTGTACATCTCCACACTCATAAAAAAAAAAAAAAAAACTGGTATGCTTTTTTTCCGTATAAAAACATATACATGTACATATCAACAGGTGTCTCAGTGTGCAAATACATTATCATAGTTGTATACATATAGTCATGTGTTAGCGTTCACGTGTGCATAGTAATATTTCTAAAAAGAAAGGGAATATAAAACATTCAAAAATGCTGTTCCTATATGATTATTTCTTAGTGTACTTGCTTAGATTTAGGCTGTTTTTTTCTTTTCATTTTTCATTTTTCATTTTTCATTTCAGCCTTTGGAAGTAAAGTCTGATGATTCAGAACCCTGTTAAAGGGGTTATGGTGAAATAGCTTATTACATGGAATCTTAACGTTGTCTGTCTTTTATTCAAACATATCTGCTCTGAATTTTACATTGAGCTCTCTGGATATCATCCTCCTCAGGTCCACCCATACGGATTACCTAAATTTGCATAAACTATATATATATATATATATATATATATATATAAGCATATCATCTTTTTTTCAGGTTTTTCTTCCTTTCTTGGATGAAAAATAAAAATAAAAAGCAACCTACTTAAAACCAATATATACAGCTATGATGACGGTTAAGGACACCCGAAAGCACAAGGCAAAAATCAAAAGGCTAGGGCCTTTTTTCAACAACTGAGACCCAAATATAAATAACTTGCGAGAAAGCAAAAAAAAAAAAAAAAAACAAAAAACTGCAGGACATAATATTAAACGGAAAAGATACGTAGTCATTAATAACACATGCCTCAATAATATATATATATATATATATATATATATATATATATATATATATATATATATATATATATATATATATATATATGTATGTATGTATGTATAAATAAAAAAAGAACAGTAAGATATATAATCCGGTGTTCTTATTGATTCGGTTGAAGATGAAATGGAACTAATATTTTTAATTTAATTACAAGATTAAATTTGAAGTTTTAGCTTTCATTTTTGAAGCATGGTCATTATTGTGTAGCGAAAAAATATTTTAAATCAGTTAATTTATAATATATATATATATGTCTCTGTGTGTATAATCAAACTTATATATATATATATATATATATGCATATATATATAGATGTAAAAAATTCAGATAGACTATATCAGCAAAAGGCAATATGAATAAAAATGATAAGTCTTTAGTCATATATATATAAATATATATATATATACACAGACAAATACAAATAAAAACACACACACGCACACGTACACATACACGCACACACAGACACATATATATAAATATAAATATATATATATAAAACATGGTGTTTTATTCTTGAATTAAATTTTCAATCTTGAAGATTACGTTCAAGCATAAAACAGGATGTTTATATATATATATATATATATATATATATATATATATATATATATATATATATATATATGAATAAAAAAAAACAAGAGGAAAAACTATTCTTAGCAGACGCGTTACGTTTCCTGATGGATTTTACCAAGGCAATATAGAATTTATTTTTTGCTTTTATAGAAAGGTGAAGATGCCATTGATTTATCGAAGTTTTTATATTTGAGTACGTTCACGGTTGTTCATCATTTGGTTGAGAGGTCAATCAACGCATATGGAAGGCACAAAGTGTCAGAATTCAAAGTGTGGCGAAAAGTAAAGTGAGCGAGTAATATTTCAGTTATTTTTTAAAGAATATTGTTTAGATTGTTATGCTGTCAGATGGACGTATCTGCTTTACATCTTTAAATTACTACTTTCCCAAGCCAACATACACAACTAAAAATATGCTTAAAATCAAAAGAAAACTGTTAAACCCATCACCTCATACATTGTGTATGTGAGTGGTTGTGTGTAATTTTGTAATCATAAAATATCAATGGAGACTGTCAAATAGAAGACAAGCACAACACTTTTAAGGTACGTTTGGGAATTAAAAGAAAAATGTGGATGTATTAATGAGATGGAAAATACTCAAGAAAACTATATGTTCTGGAAAATGATCGACATTTTGCGCGTCATGCCAGGAGGAGGTTGCAATAATTATGCATAAAGAAACCAGGAATATGATAAAATGTAAAACTGGAAAGATGTCTCAACTCAGTCAATGCGAGCCAGACATTGGAGATTAAGAGAAAAATGAAAAGACACCCCGCTCAGGGTTGAAATATGAAGAGGATATGAAAAGATTTTATCTGCTACTATAGAGCAGAACAGGAGTAACAAAAATATATAAGAATGTAAACAAATGTGTTTACCTTGTAGTTAATTTATACAAGAAGAAAGTATATATATATACTTAAAAAAATCTGTTAAGAAACCGGGAAAATACCGTACAAAAAATAGATGTATATCAAAAGTGCAGCTGCCTTGAATCAGAACATACAGGGAAGAAAATATAAGAAAGGGACAAAAAAACACCTTATATAAGCGCACGCAACCTTAGTTTCGACCGTGAGGTCTCTTCAATTATGGCCCATACCTGAATAATTGTAGTATGTTATGTTATTAAGAACAGTTTTAGCTCGCCACCTGAAAAAAGACCTGACGGTCGAATCCAAGTGTGCGGTTATATAAGTTATTTTTGCCTCCTTTTATATATATATATATATATATATATATATATATATATATATATATATATATATATATAAGAAGAAATATACTCATAAGGTGTGCTATATTTATGGGACAAAGTGCTCAATATCAGAGATAGAGCGTGCGTAAATATAAAAGTGAACATAGATATATGAGGGTCAAGCAGCTCAGTTCCACAGAACAGACAGACAGCAGCACATATAATTTGATTATAATGGTGAAGGCTTTGTGCAGAACCAACCACATTTTTTGAATGGCCGAATACAGAGACCTGGTGCACTACATGCCACAAGGTCACCAAACAACCCTCTGCAGGTTTTGAATTCAGTGTTGTCATTCTCCTAGAGCAGTTGCCATCCAAGGCTATAGAACCCAGTCTGTCCTGCGATTTACCCATAGCTGGAGGGATAAGAAGAGGATTCCTTATGTTCAATATTAAATATTCTCGATATATAAGTGAACATAGAAGTCAACACTTAGAGGCCTCTAAGCGTTGACTTCTATGTTCACTTTTATATTTACACACGCTCTATCTCTGATATTGAGCATTTTATCCCATAAATATAGCACACATTAAGACTATATCTCTTCATATATATATATATATATATATATATATATATATATATATATATATATATTTGTCTGACGATCGCTAAAGCAGGAAACCCAGGGTCACAAACTCATCTATCCAACCTTATATATATATATATATATATATATATATATATATATATATATATATATATATACATGTGTGTGTGTGTGTTTTGTTTGTTTGTGTGTCTGTGTATGTACGTTTGTGAATGATTAAAGTTAGACTGTCTGAATGCCAAATATTGGAAAGTTTGCTAAAAAAAATTATTGCCCCTTTCTCGTCTTTCTTTATCGTTGCTCTCCTTCTTGTCTTTCTTTATCGCTGATCTCCTTATAGTCTTCGTCTTTACTCTCCTCATCGACATTCTCGTTGCTCTCCTTTCATTATTTTTTATTGAACATATTCTCGTCTATATTTCTCGTTGCTTTCCTAATCGCCTTTCTTTTTTTCCTTGCTCGTCTGCTTGGACTTCTTTTTCGTTGCTCTCTTTCTCGTTTCTCCTCATCATTCCACTTCAGATCTTTCTCATTTCCCTCCTTCATGTCTTTCTCGTTGCTCTTCTCGTCTTTCGCGAGAATTCTGCAGCATAGTTAATATGATGTTTTACGCAAGAGTTATCAGATTCTATCTTGTGCACAACCTGAATTTTACTGGCTGACCCACTTATGTGACCTTGTGCCACTGTATGCCAAACTATGAAGAAGTTAGTGAAAAGGGGAATGTCTATTGGGTAACGTAGATGCCTATTTTAACTACTTTGGACAAAAGAAAAGAGTTTCTATTTTATATTTCAAGGAAAGTAAACCGTAGTCAGTTGTACAGCACTGGCTTAATAATCACCTTTTGGCCTTGTTCTTTATTGTTTAGTATATATTATGTACGGTGGATGAGGAAAATTATACTGAGAGGTGACAGGGGAACAGGTGCCCGAGGCCGCGCCTTCTCATTGCACTAGAGAAAAGGATCGCTGCAAGCACCGAGGCCAGCGCAACCGACGGGTGTACACGCTCGGGCTCCCCACATTAAACCAACCTTGTGTCACAACCTAACCTCGTGGGGTTTGAGTAAATATCTGTTATGTACGGTGGAGTAATGCATAGCGGCTCGGTTTGAGGAATCGGAGATCTGAGTTCGAATTTCAGTCGAGTCCATTACATTCACTTATGTGCTAAGATCCTTGGGATAGGTATGAATCCTCTTCTTCTCCCTCCAGCTATGGGTAAATAGCAGAACAGATTGGTTTCTATAGCCTTGGATGGCAACTGGTCAAACGCAGAAAGAAATGGCAACATACTGTGGGAAAAATCTGCTACATCAGTCATGAATCGACAGATACATGATCGCCTAAACATGTATCACGCATGGCATATAATTGACTGGATTATACATAATTACAATAAGAAATATTTGAATAAAAGGACACATTGAGAAATATTCAAGAGATCAGTTGTTTGCCGCGAAATTCTTCCGAAATCGAAATTGATTCAGACAAATTTTGTTAATCGATAACATAATCACCTGATCTCTATCTTTATTTCCTCCTGGGACAAACACTAACGAGTACGCGTTTGAAAGAAATTACCTTTCATTATATTATAAGCATATGATACACACACACGCAGACACACACAGACACACACACATATATATATATATATATGTTTATATTTCTGAGATGAGGTGCTATGTAAACTATTTACATTATTCGGACTATTGTCTTCATCTTTGTCGCCATGTTTTATTACAACGTTTCGATTGTTGTACGCTCCGGCCTTCTTTAGGTGGCTTGAATATCGAACATTTTATTTTGCTCACTCGGGTAGACTGTTCTAGTTCCACGTTCCATGTTTTAATGGATGTCAGTTATCAGTTATCTCCTGTTAATTCCTCTCTACCCCCAAGTTCTCCACTGCATTAACCGGGTATTGAACTCACACTCTTTGGGTCCTGTCACTGGATCTAACTAACGCCTTCATCCACTTTGCCATGGCGCGTTGAACTAGAACAGTCTACCCCAGTGAGCGAAATAAAGGGTTCAGTTCGACTGTCCAACCACCTGAAGAAAGCCGGAGCGTAAAACGGCCGAAACGTTGTAATAAATATGGCGACAAAGATGAGGAGAATAGTCTGAATAATGTAAATAGTATATATATATATATATATATATATATATATATATATATATATATATATATAACAAAGATGTTTTTTCAATAAAGCATAAATTATTCGCTGGCAATCTACAATCTTTATCGTTTTGATTTTCAGTGATTCACTGTTACCGATAATGTCGATTTTCAACTTGTGTTGTGGCAAAAAAAGTTAATTTTAATGTGCAGCGATAAAAAAAATCAATTCTCGAAAACATTTATTGGGTTCAAACGTGATAGACGTTAAAATACAATGTTATTATTCAAACCTCTGTAAACTGAAGACTTTTTCGAATCACGTTCTACATAATCATTTAGGTGAATGTATATTTACGTTTATTTGTTGCTGTTAAAGAGAAAAATAAAAATAAAATTTACCGCCCTGAGCAGCGTGTGAACTCATAAGCTTCACTCAACTAATTAGAGACTTCAGATTTTCATAGAAATATCACCCCTATTGACAGGAATAAGATCGCCCTAGGGGATTTATAAAAGCTTTAATTCTCTCAAATCTGTGGTTTGCCGGTTGCCCGGGGAAATCTTTGTTACTTGGGATTAAAACTTACTAAAGACTTTTGCAAGTTGCTTGACAATGGAATGAGACTATGGATTTCTATAATAAACACTTTTGGTATCAGTAACGGGTGAGCTATATTAGAAAGGTTTATTCTCCGATTAATAACTTGGGGTTTCAGCTACGATATGTGAATGTAACACGTCGGGCGGTCAGCAGCTGGTGATGGAATGATTGCTATGATGAGTATCACTGAATATGTATTAATTTGAAGGTTTAGCCTAAAATCTAATGTAGATAAAATCGTATTACACGATTAATGAATCTGCCTACGTCCAAAGGCAGCATATGAAATAATTGCTCTTAGATGCGTTCCAATACTTTTCAAATTCAATTCACGTGAAATGAAGCTGGTTCAGCCAGCAAATTGACATAATTTTACTTTGCTTATCACAGAGATTTAATGTCATTTCCAAGTGGAATGTTTTCAGAAATTCAACGATTTGTAATCCTTTTCTTTCATTTTTTACTTTATCTCAGATCGATCTAAATCTGTTCATATCTATGTGTTCATATCTAAGCCTATTGATATCTATCTATCTATCTATCTATCTATCTATCTATCTATCTATCTATCTATCTATCTATCTATCTCAGTCTGCTCATTATCTATCTATCTATCTATCTATCTATCTGTGTTCATATCTAAATCTGTTCATATCTATCTATCTATCTATCTATCTATCTATCTATCTATCTCAGTCTGCTCATAATCTATCTATCTATCTATCTATCTATCTATCTATCTATCTATCTATCTATCTGTGTTCATATCTAAATCTGTTCATATCTGTTTATATCTAAGCCTGTTCATATCTATCTATCTATCTATCTATCTATCTATCTATCTATCTATCTATCTATCTATCTATCTCAGTCTGCTCATTATCTATCTATCTATCTATCTATCTATCTATCTATCTATCTATCTGTGTTCATATCTAAATCTGTTCATATCTATCTATCTATCTATCTATCTATCTATCTATCTATCTATATATATATATATATATATATATATATATAGCATGCTGTTCATATCTTAGTCGTGATAGATTGTTTAAATAAATGTATACTTTAATCTTTTCATCGAAATATCTACATTAATGAACGTAAGAATTGTCTTTCGATTTATCTATTGGATGGGAGGAATCTGATGTTTAAAAAAGAGCTATTTAACAGAAATCGAATGTTGTCCTATAAAATCCCGTTCGAAACTGTCAATATCCCAAAAGGTCAATATCGTGGTGTTTATTGATGGGGAAAAAACATTCCTTCGAGCGGATGGAGAGATAACTACTTTGCTTTATTCATTGAGATTTTATCTATTCAGTAAATCACTGACGACAATCCGGAGGAAAGCCGATTCAAGACTTGCAGAAAATTGCCACTTGCTGTTCGTGATGAAATATTTTCATTATCACGGGCAACATCCGTCTAACATCCCCATTTTTAACATATTTCTTTAAATTCTTGCGTTCTTTGAACTTTCTTGCCGTTAGAGATATTTAGATTAAAGGTTGTCTTTATTTCTTGAAATATTGGATAAGCATCATTATCTGATTTTGAAGTCTTATATTTTATATTTAACGTCAGTATATTAAAAATAATGTAGACTGATGATTTTTTTTATTACTATGTTAGGATTTGTGCATTTTCAACCCTCAGATTGACTGAAAAAATTCTAAGACGATTTGCATTAGTCCATATATTTTTGTGCCTTTAAATACATTTGTTGTTTGATGAACTAATCAGTATGTTCATTGTTCAAATAGTCCTTTACATTTCGGGTTAGATATTGTCTGGAAGATTTTTTTCTCAGGTGTTTTGTACTCAATATTGAGGATGATTTTCGAATATAATTTAATTTTTCTTTTGTGGAAAAAAAGTGGCTAATGGACAAAGTTTTCAAAAACGATTTAAAATAAGGTTTTACAAGCACACACCTACATCAATTTACGGACATTGCACACACCCACACACACAAACACATACACCCCTGGTCAATATCTTAAGACCAGATAGAAAAGGGTTGAAAAAAATAAAATACTGTTACTTTAATCAAAATATATTTGCGAAACATTCACATTTAATTAGAAAATGTAGGTTATCAACAAACAAGTAAAAATTAAGCTTTTAATTGATTAATTTAAAGAAACATTGAAAAAAGGATGAGAGGGATAGAGATAAGGAGAGGCATATGTATATATATTAAATATATATACATACATACATACATATATATATATATATATATATATATATATATATATATAAAAAAAGGCTTAAACACTAATATTCCATGGTCATAATTTATTCCAGTGGAATCGTAAATACGATCTAATTCATCAGACCTACAAGTTCAAAAAGAAAACAGAAAAAACAACTCCGGAAATAAAAAAATAAAATTTAGTGAGATTGTATGAGAGTGTGGGAAGAATGTCAGAGTAAATGAAAGCTATAGAGAGGGGTAACAGACGAGAGAAGGACAGGAAGGTCTAAAGATGAAGGGGGGAATTAAAATTTAACAGAGAGAAGTTTTAAAGAGGGGAGTCAAAGACGGTTTAAGTGAGAGAAATATGAATATTCTCGGATGTCTAAAATACATTAAAGATATACCGGAAAAGATACATTTTGTGGTGACATACACACACAATAGACGATCTAATCTTAAAGATCAGAAGATGAGAGAGGGAGAGGAAAAGAAAAGAAAAGAAAAGGGGGTGGGGGAGAGAGATGAGGTGGGGGGAACTAAAACCGAAGTGCATTTATAAAAGGGCCGCTGTGTAATTTAGAAAATTTGACTACAGGTTACAAATCAAATATAAACATAGAAAAAATATATAACGATTATCTAATCTAGCAAGGACCTCTATTTCTGTGTTCAAAAACACATACGTATACACATACACAACAACATATTTATATTTACACGTACATACATACATATAGGAGTATACACACATACCCATAAATATACATATATCTATACATATATATATATATATATATGCATACATATACACATACATCCGTACACATCCACTCCTACCTACATATATATTTACACACATATATACATGAGCACAAGTTGTTTTTTCTGTTGTCTTTTCGAATTTATAGGTCTGATGAATTGGATTGTATTTACTATTCCAGTGGAATAAATTATGACCATGGAATATTAGTGTTTAAGCCTTTATATATATATATATATATATATATATATATATATATATATATATATATTTATGGGTAAAATAGCAGGACAGAATGGGTTCTATAGCCTTGGATGGCAACTTATCTAGGAGAAGGACAACTCTGAATTCAAAATCTACGGAGGGTTGTTTGGGGACCTTGTGGCACGTAGTGCACCAGGTTTCTTTATTCGGCCATTCAAAAAGTGTGGCTGGTCCTGCACGAAACCTTCACCACTATAATCAAATCTCATGTGTCGTTGTCAGGCTGTCGGTTTCCTGGAAACTGATCTGCTTGTCCCTCATACGTCGAAATCGATGGGAGAGTCGACGATATATATATATATATATATATATATATATATATATTCCTCTCCTTATCTCTATCCCTCTCATCCTTTTTTCAATGTTTCTTTAAATTAAAATAAATAAATATATATGTCTGTCACACTATCTCTCACCACTCTCTATATCAGCATACATGAGCTTAATACTGCCCTTTAAAAGTGTAAGTTTAAATTCATTTTTTGGTCCTTGAACATGAGGTCTTATGATCCAGAGAAAAATGAAACTTTAAAGTGGTCCGTTTTACGTTAAATTAAATTATTCGCTCTGACTTAACATTGAGCTCTCCGGATTTCATCCACCTTGGAATTATCCATCCGGATTACCAATATTTTCATTCCTTAATTATATATATATATATATATATATATATATATATATATATATATATATATATATATATATACATCTAGTGAGCCAGACAAACCTACCTAGGTTTCACCTATACGGATCGTCAGGAAACTTTCCTGACGATCCGTTTAGGTGAAAACCTAGGTAGGTTTGTCTGGCTTTACTAGGTGTATCTAGGTCTGCTGCTCTACGGTTGTATTGAGCTCTTTTGTTAGTTAGTTGTTACTCGTATCGGGTTTTTTTTTTTGGGCTTCAGACCTGCATCTGTGCGATTTTTTGTCGGCAGAAGTTCATGTTTGTAGCTCTTTTTTTTTTTAAAACTTTTTTTCCCTCGAGATTGATTTGATTAGCAAATCAAAAAATTCGAGGGTTTTTCGAAACGAGTCTAGTTATCTATATTTATATATATATATATAGTACCGCGCATATAATATATAAATAATTATACATATATATATATTTATTTATATTTATATACACTTTTCACACATATATATATATATATATATATATATATATATATATATATATATATATATATATAGTTTTCGTGGAACAGCATTCACTCTTTAAAAGACCTGGAGTGAAGTCCAAAAGAGTGGAGACAAGATGAATCAAAATATTAATAATGTTATTGATTATTATATGGAAGATACGATAGACAAGATTTATATATCAGGTTAATATTGGATAAAGAAAATGAAATCTTCATGTTTTACATACATACATATATATATATATATATATATATATATATATATATATATATATATATATATATATTTGTTTGTGTGTCTAAGGAACAGCTGTGACAGTTTATATATGTATATATAGGGAATAATAATTGAAGGATTTTTATTATGATTTGATTATTTCTATTAATAATACTTTTAGTAGGTACACGTGCTTCTGTTGTTAACCATTTTTGTTTCATTATTATTAAACAACAAAAAGAATAACAAACGGCTTAGATTGAGAAAAAAAGAAAACAAAAAGAAAACTGTGCCTTCCATAGGAATCGAACTTCTAAAATTTTTTTCGTCCGGGAAGTCGCATTTTCATAGGCAAAATATATATTTATTTACAATATGAAGAACAAACTCGAGTTGCAAAATATAATGACAAACAAGGAAAATAGTTAAGGAAATAAGTTATCACTATATATAAAACCGAGGATGTTTGTGTGTCAGTATGGTACCTTTTCACTCGAGACCCATCCAACCGATTTTGACCAAACTTGGCAAATACATTGTACTATTTAAGAGACAGGTACTTAGCGTAATTTTGTTAAGAAACTAGTAATCGATAAAGCCAATCAAAAATCGATAAATTCAAATTTATCCCCCGATTTTGTTCAAATTCGGTATGTAGGTTACTTAGATAATGACGAGCTCAATGATGCCTCATTTTTTATTTCTACGCCACTGCATTTAGCAAAAAAAAAAAAACGAAAAACGAAAAATCGATTTCAACACAAATCGATTTCAACACAAATTTTAAACTAAAAACTCCCTTAATTTTCAAGCAATCTAATACAAACTTCACTCAATTGTAGCCAACCATGTCGATTATTTAACACTCATTTAACTTGGTAATCGAGTCTACCCATATAGTGAAAACCCGCGTAAATAGCAAAAAATGGCGATTTTTATTGGTTTCTTTCTTATTTTTCGTTGATTTTTCAATCAATTTTAATCAAATTTAACAATTGCTTTATAAACGTATCCTCTTTTTACATCCCTAGTAGCACAATGACAAATTGACTTCGAAATAATTGTGGTCGGAAGTGTGTCTTCATTTTGCTTGTTTTACCCTTTTATGTCCTCTGCTAACTTCGATTGAATAAATACGGACTACTGCATTAATTCAAAAAATTATTTAATGAAAGTACTTTAAAGTAATTGAATAAGATAGACTCTATTACACCTAAATATGATGCTGTTTTTGCTCCATTCTAATTGAACGCTTTTTTTTTCTGATCGACCAGGTGCTACTTGCAAATAGTTCTAATAAAACAGATAAGTTGAAATGGATATAGTACTATTGTCATGTGAACCTATACTGAAAATATAAACAATACTAATTTGCCAATAATAATCTAATTGTAAAAACAATCTGATATGGTTTATATATGCTATCTAAATGTCTGAAGAAAA